CCTGTAAATTAACCCCCCCCCCCCGGTTTACTCAGAGCAAAGACCCCCGCAAACCACCCCCCCCCCCCCCGTGTACTCAGAGCAAAGAAACCTGTAAATCAACCCCCCCCCCCCCCTTTTTTTGTTTGTTTTGATTTGATGACTTCTGCATTCAAAGTTGCTTGTTTAATTATTTTTTTTCCATATACGGACTTTCCATTCAATCCTGTGGTGTTACAGCCCACGTAGGGCTTTGGCCTGCCTGACCACTTTCTTCGACTCAGAACTTACTGCTGCTTTTCAAAAGCAACGAATATAAAGGTATTTAATCAGACTCGGCGCATCATTAGATGATGAACAATTACATTCACGTATGCGCCAAAATGCATCCCTGCATTTTACATTTATTAAAAATTTTCTGGGGGCTCCCCAACACTTTCACTCAATTTTATGGCTTCGCCCCTGGCCGTGTTTCCTTGGCATGGCCCTAGCTTCGCCCCTGGCCGTGTTTCCTTGGCATGGCCCTCGCGTTTAACAAAAGTACCGGTAACTGGTGTGCAGGGGCGTTGGACGACACTTGTTTCTTTATTTTGAGGTGCGGCGTTTTAAGCCAACGGCGGAGAGTTTTTCGTTAAAGGGAGACGGCAACCATTTTGAACCCCCACCTCCCCCCCACCCCCATCCTCTCCAGGGCGAGAGGAACCTGAACTGATAAGACATTAAGTTAATCACGTGATTTATATTTAGTTTTTTTTTCGAAGGGTTCCCCAAAATGTCGACTGCCCGGGGGGGGGGGGCTCCTGGGGATCTTAATACGGCACTGCAAGTAGGGCCTAATAGCGGTGGAGTGGCCAGTACTTTACGAAATAGGAAAAGGAGGTTGGGGGGGGGGCGGTGGTCAACGATCAAACTACTGAGAGGATGATTTAGATCTGGGTGGTCAACGATCAAACTACTGAGAGGATGATTTAGATCTGGGTGGTCAACGATCAAACTACTGAGAGGATGATTTAGATCTGGATGGTCAACGATCAAACTACTGAGAGGATGATTTAGATCTGGGCATCAAGACAAGTTTGAACTATTTTATTTTGAAATTTTGGCATTTAGTTGTTAGTTTATAACAAGATCTTTGTTAGCATTTAGTTGTTAGTTTATAACAAGATCTTTGTTAGGAGCATTTAGTTGTTAGTTTATAACAAGATCTTTGTTAGGAGCATTTAGTTGTTAGTTTATAACCAGATCTTTATTAGGGGCATTTAGTTGTTAGTTTATAATAAGATCTTTGTTAGGAGCATGGGGCACATTCTGTGCATCAATGATAAAATTACGGGCTTTGTAAATATGCTTATGCTTGTGGCGTGTCTCAAAATTCGGGGAGATATCTACAGAGGCGTAGCTAGAGGGTTTGGAGGCCGGTGGCAAGATTATTTGTTCGTTGACTTAATAATTCAGAGTTCTATTTTTAAAGGAATTTTTATATTTAAAAAAAATAGATTTATGCCGTATATTAAAAAAAAAAAAAAATCTATAAAAATTCTCTGAATAAATGATAAAAAAATAAAAGCTGTCTCTCTCAAAACAAAGTATTCACCATAGAAATCATATCAATTTCTTACTTATCAAATTAATTGATAATATAATACAGCTTGTGCGCAATTTTGATTCTTGACTAGCAATGAAAGTGAGAAAGCGAATTTACGGATTTAAGTACACATGTCCTCATTGGACTAAGGCGGGGAAAAGGAGGAGTGGGGGATCCCCCCCCCCCCCCCCCCCCCCCCCCCCCCCCCCCCGTAGTTGTATATTTAAACTAAATTGTGCGTGTTAAAGAAACCCGGATGTACAGATGGCTTTTTACGGAGAGATAATTTAATGAATTTTTACGTCACGTCATTATTTTACTTTTGCTATTATGAATTTTATTGGTAAAATTGGGAGAGTGGTTGCTATGCACCTAGGGGTGTCCACGCGTGGGTGGGTGGGGAGGTTGCGCTGACACACTATCAGAAGTTGATGATCAAAGGGAAGTAAACAAAATAAAATTATTCGGCGATGAATAGCAAAGTAGTGGAAGAGAAGTGTGCGGGCCCCACCAGGTGACACCCTCCCAGTCCCAACACTAACTTTTTATTCTGTAAAGGAGCTTTAGGCTTTAACCACTTTCACATGCCACTGGATTGTTTTACTATATATTTAGGCTTTAAGCACTTTCACATGCCACTGGATTGTTTTACTATATATTTAGGCTTTAACCACTTTCACATGCCACTGGATTGTTTTACTATATATTTAGGCTTTAAGCACTTTCACATGCCACTGGATTGTTTTACTATATAGTAGAGTGCGTTCAAAAATAAATTTGACGTAAAATTTTAACGTGTGAACTGAAAAAAAGATTCGATCAATTTACGTTTGATCAAATTTCCGTCGACGAAATTTCTTTGACACAAGTTTCTGGTTACATCCAAGGATATGTCCGTAAATGAATGAAGTCACGCTATGTTGATGGCTTATGTTACCCCTCCCCCCCCCCCCCCCCCCCCCCCCCCCCCTCTACTAACAACTGACACGAAAGTTGTGAAGATGCTTCACACACAATCTGGGGTCCATAGACGAGACGTGCAGTTCTTAAAGGGAAATGACGAGAAAATAGATCTTATGGCTCAACAATCTTTTCTTAAATGTATGTATTTTTAAAATGCAAATGAATGATGCATTTGGCCTTCACTTGTTGAAATCCTTAAATTATTATTTTATTTACAGTGGCCTCAGCCGAGTCCCAACTCATGTGTCAGATGCCATTGGTGGGTAGTTTCTCGTGTATCGACTATGCAAATAGAACCAACCACTAGATGAACTCAACTTTACACAGAAATGAAATTGAAAACTAATAATGTTAAACACCAGAAAAATAAAAAGAATTGACAAAACCAGAAGCGTCATACTTACCAAAACCACCAAGATCTAATTGAGCATGCCATGCTGATGATCCAGATCAGTGGCTCTTAAAGTGGGCGGTACCACCACACGGGGGTTGGTGGGACAGCTCAGGGGGGGGGGGGCGGGGCAGTAAAATGTACCGTAGTTTTATGAAGGCGTTGAGATTACCCAATTGGTCACTGTTGAATTTTGAAAACAGTATTTTGAACTAATCACCAGTTCCGCTCTCGATTTCTGTACGACTTCCCGTTAAAAATGACAGTATATCTGGCTCTGGCCACCAACTTTGGTGCCGATAGATGCACTGCCCATGATTTTTGCCGCGCCCTTTTAAGATACAGAGTCTGCAGAAAACGGGACACCTGGGCAGACTACCCCCACTCTCCCCCATTTTTACACCACTGGCATAGGCGTAGCCAGAGTGTTAGACGCAAAGTGATAAGATTTATTTGTACGCCCCGAACAACTCTGAAGCCTTAAATACCACCATAACCCATTTGATGCCCCCGCTAGTCTGGTGCCTTGAGACACCTCTCCCGTGCTGCCCTCCTTAGATTCGTCTCTGGCTACCAGCACTGCCCACCTGAAAATCTTAAATGCCCCCGGAGGAAACTTTGCCTGAAAGAAACATAAACATTGCCGGGGGGGGGGGCTCAAAGTCCGACCCTGGTGGCACAATTTCTCGCTACGCCACTGTTCCTTACGACTTACGATCATGGCACGGGATGATGATTTCTTCATTTATGAGATCAGATTTGCTGAGATCTCATCACCTCTAGCTCGAGCAGTAACTCGAATACATTAAAACAATTGTATTCATTATAATTTAAGGCTTTTTTGACGGATGGCAGTAATTTGGAGTTGGAGTGGGTTTTTTTATGTTTTATTTTTATTTTATTTTTATTTTTTTTTGTAAAACAATGAAAATATATTGTACAATTTCCATTAAATCACAAAATAGCGACATGTTAAGAGCAAAATATAAAAAAACATTAAATCGGGAGAATGTAGAGAAACCGCAGAGAAAATAAAACCTCGATCAAGGGTGTCGGTATTAACAATAATTAAATTGTTTAGTGTATTGATCATTAATTTTGATAGACACCAGCTCAGCTCTCCTAGCACGAAAACATTAAATTTCTTTCTCGTAAACAACATGGCGTCTTAGGTGGAGGAAAAAAGGGTAAAGCACACGTAAATGCTCACTGTCACACTGTATTCTATAATAATAAATTATGGAAATGTATTAGATATAACAAAAGTTAAATTATAAATGAATTTTATGCGTTAATTTTTTTCTCAACTGGAAAAGCAACTCATAATTCTTCAATCATAATTTGAGACGAGTACTTAGAACTAAATAATACTTACACACTCTGGATTACTCAGGGGCAGTCTTTGAGTCACTGTCCACACTGATGGTGAATTCATCATACAAACCATGTCATGCCATAAAGTGTCCTAACTAAGTGACTAACAGTAGTGTCTTTACAATTAGTAATTAATTATTAGAATTTAATTAGAGCATTTAAATGATAATGTTTAATAATTCATTAAAAAATTTGGCTAAAAAAGTACTATGTATTAGGTACTTCAGTAAACAAATATATAACTATTAAAATATTACAGTTCTATAGAGCAAACTTCCTATAAAAAATGAAACCATAGTCAACTTTCTAGCTTTAGTACTTTTTGATCTATGAATTTTAAAGTGTGAGTTTGTTTGGTATTTTGGCTAATTTGGAGAGACAGTACCCTGACATCATTTGCGTGTTTTGTCCCTGGTTCCGATGGGGTCAAAACCCTGGTTCCGATAGGGTCAAAACCTAGGTTAGGGATAAGTTTAGGGTTCAGGTTAGGCTTAGGGATAGTATTAGGGTTCAGGTTAGGTTTAGGGATACATTTAGGACATAAGTTCGTGGGTCATGACAACCAATGTGGCGGCCACGGTGCTATATCTCCAAATTTACCGGCCTTTTTACTATGGGCACCACCTCCACATTTTTTAGGTATGTCAGTAAAAACTTGTGATTCTCCTTCACAGATGCCCATTTCCCATACAGTTTTTAGTAGTCTCCCTTTCTTTACCGAAGTACATAAATTTTGTAACCCAGTTCCCCTGATCGTGGCACACGCTATAACTCTACTTTTAATGTAAATGATAATTTTATATAACTTTTATTTTCAGATTTAATGATAGGTATTAAAAGTAATAATATTAACGTTAAATTTCAACACTTTCATGCAATTGTAAATACTTTAAACTTATCTAGCTATGTAATATTGTTATTAAATTTAATAAATACGTTATGGATGTTCTGTTGACTAAGTCTAAGGTGTCCATTATATTATATATAGACATAGACTATGTAAAAATAATACTGGTTTGGGAGTACTTATTTTGAATTTACAACTTTTACACTTGACTAATTAATTAAAGCTTTCCATGACCAATGATTTAATAGTGTTTGCACACTGCAATTTTTATGAATGAAACTATGATAATAATACTATAGTCTAGAATTGTTCAGTACATGCTAATTACTAAGAATGGCTGCCCATGACAATGTTTTGCAGACTGCAATTTATGATAATTTATAATAAATGATATGGACTCTAATTTTAAACCTCGAGTTAAAATATTCTTGTTTGAATGCTTTCTAAGTTCACTCTAAAATACAATTTATCAAATATTTTGATGTGAATAGTGGTAATAATTGAATATTTCATTAGTATCGGCATATTCCGCTAGGGGGTGCAAGGTGACCTTATGGTAATGCCGGTTTCTTAGATGAGCATAACTAATGGCCGACCAATGAGAATTGGCACACATATACTTTAATATATGATGCAGATGAAGAATTAATATGAAAGACATATATTTTAAACTTTTTATGAAATTTTTTAGTGAAAGATGCCTTACCTATGAATTTCTATTATGAGGGTCGATTGAAAAGGCAAAAAATTAAGATGGAAATGTAGGTCAACAATTCCACAATGGTAAACGTGTTGATGATTACCTCACTTTTATTATAAGAAACCAGTCCTTTAATCAGTGAAAAAGTACCAACATCCAAAAGTTAAAAACTCGGATTCTGCTGCGCCAATTCTCATTTCCCATAAAAATATTTGAAGTGGTTTCCCTTGCCTTACTAAAGTGCCCAAGTCTAGAAAGTTGATTCAGGTTTCATTTTTTAAATTTGAATTCTGCTCTATACAACCATTATTTTTAATAATATTTTAGGAATCGTTTTACTTAAGTAACTAGGCCTTCACTATGCCTAGCTAGGCATGACAGTTGAGCAGATCTCACACTCACTCATTTTCATGCATCTATCAATAAAATGATCTATTATATTGAAAGATACACTTAATTGTGCGAGTTCATTTGTAATTTATTCACCTCCACACTTTGTGACCCCATTCCACTTAACACTTGTTTTAAAGATAATTTGATATACAAATTTTATTTTCAGGATTAAAGCTATTTTAAAAAGTAATAATATTATGCCATTATGATAACTTTGTAACATATCTTGCTATATACTATGCATTCAGTAAATTAAATATATACAATATGGCTGTTCTGTTTTCTAAGTCTAAGGCATCCATTATATAAAAATGGCTACAATATGGCAAAATTTCCAACTGAAAAAAAGTAATCCTGTTTAGGGACTACTTATTTTGAACTTTCAACTTTTGCACATACCTTTTCCTGACCAAAGGTTTAATAGTTTTTGCACACATCAATCTCTTATGTGAATGAAAATCTGAGAATATATAGTATAGTCATACGTAGACCAATGTTCCCTTTAAGCTGCGCGGCCGTGCAGCAATCTCACAGACACCGCTTTGAGTACGTGCAGCTAATTTCCACTTAATTGTCTGTGGGCTGAAAATTTTGCGCACAAAAAAATTGATGCTGTAAAAATTTGCACAAAACTTTATGATTTTGCACACGAACCAACAAACCTTCGAGGGAACATTGATGTAGACTGAATGGTCGCCAATGACAATGGCACTGCACACCACCACAGTAAATTATAATAATTAATAATATTGAATCTACTAAAATTTTGATATTGTTTTTATTCATTTGAGTCCTTAACAGAAAATTAGACTGAATAAGAAGGCTACAATGACACAATTTAAACTTTACACTTAAGTCATACTCTGTTGATATTCATTTGAATTTAAAAGATGTGCCAATAGGTCACAGTAATTCACCTGTGGAAAAGTTTTAAATATGTTTTGGAATTCTTTGGATTAAAGTGTTGTGTTAGCAGTTCAGTAGCTACTTTCAATGAGGACACCTTTGGAAATGAATGTGTTAGACATTAGTAGTAGAAGTCTAATTGCTAAATATTTTGTGAAATATTTAATTGTGATGACTGATTTCACATTGTGGAGAGTCCAGACCTGGGAAGCATAGGGGTGGAGGGAATTCCCACTGAACGAAGGCTGACCACCTGTCGTGGGGTCTCAGTTTGCACAAGGATGGCCCGTGACGGTGACAGTACTTATAAATCAACACATTGGAATGCAAGGGCTCAAATGACTGCAAACAATATCAAAATTTTGCTTGAACTCAATGAACCAAAAATAAGGATAAATTTATGGAGGTTAAATTTTAAAATTTTCGAGAGTGGGACTTATTCCTTGATTTTATGGATGTGAGAATCACTGATAATGTCATTGTTTTTTCTCTTTTATAAATATAAATAATTACTCGCTTTTTTAAAGTATAAAGTTGCAACACCAAATCAAATTTGAGCTTTGTATCTTTAACATTTAATAAATTATGATTATTGTTTCACTCAAAAAAGCACAATAATTTTTTACTTGAGTGAATGATGAGCTGAAATACTGAAATGAACACTCAACGAAAGATGTGTTCATCAATATTGTATCTAAATGGGTTGGTCTAGACTCTTGTTAATCCTCATTTTTGGTCTGTCCGATTTATTCTCTGGGGGCATCCATAAATGATGACATGCAGTTTGTGATCATGTATTATGAGGGTGTCTAAAATTTTGTGAAGTCACTTGTGGATTGCCCCTCTGACAAAGATTTGCTAATAATTATCAGCACCCTATGAATATCTTACCAATCCTGTGGTCAGTAATAGGCAAAGTTTTCAGCCACATATGTCAAATTGATATATAACTGGCTTCTACTGATCTAGGTACTCTACAGGCCTGCCTGCAAACTGTGTCACCTATTCAACAATAAAAGCAACAGGAAATTACCTATCATCTTTTATTTCTTCATGCTGCTAGTATTACTGGTAAAATAATTGATCCAGTCACTAACACTAGAAGTCTTCATGAAGGAGGCCATTATCTTTTGGCTGCCCATAGAGCTTCTTTGGTGATCAAATCAAAATTCTCTTTCTGGGTGTTCAAAATAAGGCATTTCAAATATTCTCTTATTATCCCTTTCTTATATAGTGTAATACCAGTGCTCAGCTTAAAAAATCCCTTATCTTGGTCTTATAATTTATTTGGATCCACAGATTTATGTATCGATGACCTACATACCACTGAAGGGGTCACAGTGCTCTAAAGTGAGCTTCTGGCTTTCAGCTCTGGTATTGTCCTCGATCGCATCCCATGCCCTGTTTGATGACATCAGCAAATCTCATTCATGCTTTAATGCTGAAGCGAGCATGGCGAAAGCAAGTTCAGTAGATGCTAGCTGTCTCATAGATGCTAGTCCCGCCATTGAAGATGCACATCCTGGCACCGCTGCAGAACCCGGCGTCTGGTCAGGGCAGCATATCCGTAGTCCATTAGCTAGAGCCGTGTACAATAAACTTAAGGAAGATGAAAGAAATAAGAATGACAGGCATGTGTATGTAAGTACCTGTTGCTGTATCCAAACTTACATATCCCACATATGACATCATCGTTTGATATTAATAACCTGCTTTTTACTGGCTTTTTTTCAGTTATTAAATTAAGTGTTAAATATAGACTATTGTTCCCATTATAGACCAATTATAGATCGCCCCTGATTGTAATCTTAAAATTCATTGCTTTCTCTTAATGATTTGCAACATCCCGGTTGTAGACAGTATCCCCTATACAGTGATGCCTACACTACAAATAAAGTAATTTATTATATTTTGCAATCAAAATAAAGTAATAAAATTTTCATGAAATAGTCAGTAGCTTTTGATGCTAAAAGTAAATCAACTTAAGGACACACATACATAAATCTGGAAAGCTGCGGTTTGAAAGGGATTACAAATAAGATACTGGTGGACCAAAGTATGTGGAAGCTTGAAATAGAAAGACAGGACAGTGAGAGACAAGAAATAGCTTCCTCAACTCTCCTCTTCTGTTCAACCTGCCTGGACTTCCCAGCAGCTAAAATGGCTTGATGTTTCTTGCAGATCTGCAGATATTGGCTTTTCTTTTTATTTAGACAAATATATTTTCTTTTAAAAATTGTTACTTATTTTGCTAGTTTCCTATATTTTATAACTATGATGCTGAACCATTTGATCCCCAGTGGTATTTTATAACAAACCAGTTTCCTCTATTCATAACTATAATGCTGAACCATTTGATCCCCAGTGGTATCGTGTTATAACAAATCGTCTGTCAGAGGACCTGCAGGCCAAATTCATTCAATTTGACCAGGATGAAGGAGCTGACCAGTTCCTGGACAACTGCCTGGACAAGTCCAACCAAGTGCTCACGCAGGTGTTCTACTCCCTGGCCAGGCCAATACTCAACTTCTTTATGACACAGACTTCCATCAATGGGTACTTTAGTTTAAACAGTATCATCTCTCTTTATAACACAGACTTTTATCTATTGGTACTCTGAATCTCTGACAACAATGGATAAAATCAATTTTTGCCCATCACATATATTTTATACTATTAAAATAAACTATAAATTCATTTGAATGATTTAATCAAGAAAGAATATTTTTGGACTCAAGTCATCAGTTTTATATTTGTTTTGTTTCATATTAGTTTTTAATATTTTTAACTTCAAACCATTCAAAGATAATTACCATTGAACATTTTCCTCTAAAACTAACAACAGATTCCTACACAGAGGCTCCATGTTCATTTTCTCCAAGCCACAGTTTGAGAAGCTTTTGAACATTTCCCCATATTATAAGGGAGAATCTCTATTAGATTTAGGTAAGATGTTTGGAGGTTATAGAACTAATAAATTTGGCACACTGGTTGAAGAGTATGGAAGTTAAAACCACTTCTGATTGGTTAGGTTTTTCCCCCCATATATTGATGACACTTTAGTTTTGTAAACCATGTGAGATAACTAGGCGGACATTGTGTGTTAATTTTTTATGGTTTTGGTTTTCATGTAGTTTAACATTGGTTGTAAAGCAGATGTGGTTTGACATTGTTTGTAAAGCAGATGTGGTGTAACATTGGTTGTAAAGCAGATGTAGTTTAACATTGTTTGTAAAGTACAATGGCCATAACTGAATGGAATATTTCATTGACACAGGTGCAGGAGATGGGATGGTCACCAAGCACATGTCCAGTTACTTCCACACAACATATGCCACCGAGATGTCAGGGGTAATGGTCAGGCGTCTGCAAGCCGAAGGATTCAAGTCAGTTTTTTTAATTTTTTAAATTAGATCCCTTTATAAACATAACTAAACATTCTTATTTAGTGTTTTTTATAAAATGTATGTAGTGTTTCAAGATTTGTTCAAACATTTTTATTTTTATTTTTTTTACAATTAAGTCATGTAGAGATTTTGTTCAACATGTTTAGATTTTTTTTCACAGCTAGTTGTAAATAATTCAGACATACTCAGGACTGGTTCAACATATGTGGTTTTATTTCACAATTAAGTGTTTTTTTTTCAAACATACAGGTAATCCATTTTTTGGGGTCATTTTACCATTTCACTTATTTTGAAACTGATTAAAATTTATCTTTGTACATTCTTCCCCAGGGTGCTCGGTGTAGATGAATGGTCATCTACTGGACTCAAATTTGACCTCATCTCATGCCTGAACCTACTTGACCGCTGTGATAAACCAGTCACTTTGTTGGCAGAGATCAAAAAGTCTCTGAAACCTGGCACAGGAAGACTTCTGGTGGCTGTGGTCATTCCTTTCAAGCCCTATGTGGAATTTGGTATGTTCAATGGCACTTTGTTTTTTTTTTTTCAGTACAAATCTCAAACTCTAAACTATGCAATGTAAAACCTACCTCATAGACACACCCACCCAATGAACACAACCGACCAATGAACACACCCACCCAATGGACACAACCAACCACTGGACACAACCAACCAATGAATACAACCAACCAATGGATACACCCACTCAATGGACACAACCAACCAATGGACACACCCACTCAATGAACACAACCAACCAATGGACACAACCAACCAATGGACACAACCACCCTATGGACACACCCACTCAATGGAGACATCCACCCAATGGAAACATCCACCCAATGGAAAAACCCACTCAATGGACACAACCAACCAATGGACACACCCACTCAATGAACACAACCAACCAATGGACACAACCAACCAATGGAAACACCCACTCAATGGACACATCCACTCAATGGACACAACCAACCAATGGACACAACCAACCAATGGACACACCCACTCAATGAACACAACCAACCAATGGACACAACCAACCAATGGACACAACCACTCAATGGACACAACCAACCAATTGACACAACCACCCAATGGACACACCCACACATTGGACACACACACAATGGACACACCCACCCATTGGACTCACCCATCCAATATATATGATATAAATATCATAGCATATATTTAACACGTTTATTTGTCATTGTATAAATCTCTTTTAGAATGTGTAAATAAGTGTAAATATGTAAATATATTTTGTTGTTGTTGGTATAAATAAATAAAAATATTAAAAGAAAATAAAACAATTATTAGTTCCTGGAAGTGGAAGCAAAGGCCATGGCTGGCAGCCACTCAGGCTACAGGATAAACACTGACACCACCAATGTATGGCGGGCCATGCGATTGACATTTTGAGTTTTGCAATCTCATTCGGCCTGTGCTGTTTCCCTGGTAGCAATAAATAATTCTGCTGTGCTATATAATAGCTACTTTTAAGTTTCATTTTATAGTTGCACAACGGTTGGGCCTAGAAATGACAGGATTAAATAATGAGGGAATATTTTCACAGTTTTGATGGAGAAAAAAAAAGCTAAAATTTACATTTCCTCCAACAGATTCTAAGACCCACCAGCCGACAGAGTACATTCATGTCAAGGGATCAAATTTTGAGGAGCAAGTGCAGCACTTTGATTCAATCTTTAAACAATCTGGGTTTGAAGTTGAGAAATTCACACGCCTGCCTTACTTGTGCGAGGGTGACCTCCGACATTCATTTTACATGCTGACGGATGTCTTGTTTGTGCTGAAGCCGGTCGAAGATGATTCCTAGTCAACCGGCCTGGTGGCTTCAGCATATTTGAGAGTACATTGTGATTTCTTGACAAGGGTTGTATAAATAATTAAAACTTTATCAGTGGGATGGGGAGAAACAAAATGAGTTCAAGACGTCTTGTTGACAGAGTGTATATGAGCGCTTGATGACGGGGGTTCGTACGTTTTGAAAGTTTGAGGACCACCTTTTCATTATGGCTCTCATTTTCTTGAGACGGCCCTAACTTTGTGAAACCATCAATTGAGAGAAATGAGCCAATAAAGTAGTTTGGCAGGCCTCTCCTAGAAGCACACATCAGAGTCACAAGCTAGAAGCACGTTGCTTGCCTAAACCTGATGTTAAAGGTTAAAAATGTTTGGCCAAATCCGTTCATTCTGGTTCTTTATTCAGCTCAAATTTATTGTTGTTAGACTCTTATTCAGTCCTTAGCATATTTTATATATTTCTTCTTTCCCCCAGTTTAAAAATCACAGCTTTATACAAAAAGAAGCTACATATTGAGTACATTTACTTGTAGTTGTACAGACAGAGATGCAAATATCTCGTATTGCAATTATTATTTTTAGAAATAGGTTAAGTTAAAAACAATTTTTAGGTATTGCTTTATCTAGAAAACATATACTGCTTTAATTAGAACAGTTTTTTTACATCTTGCTTTTGTGTGTCTGAGCTGTTGGTTTTATTTAGAAAAAAAAAAAGGCAGAAAGTCACTTGATGCGTTTAGAAATGTGAACTCTCCTGTACAAGAAATTAGATTTTATGAAACATCATTTTTTAAAGATTTGAATTTTACGATTTTATTTCCTTTTTTTTTTTCATCTGTTGAATTTTATAAAGTGCAGCTTCGTAAAGTCATATTATTTGTTATGAACCTCACTAAGTATGTTAAAAGCCATGAATAGAGACAGGATGTTCTGCCAATGTTACTTCATGGATATAGTAACCACACCAAGTCTGTTAAAAGTCTTTCTTACAGTAGAGACTGGATGTTCTGCCAGTGCTACTTCATGGATATAATAACCAGACCAAGTCTGTTAAAAGCCTTTCTTACAGTAGATACTGGATGTTCTGCCAGTGCTACTTCATGGATATATGTTCTTTCAATTTTTACTTATACCTTATTTTTGTTTTTACTACTGTTATTATCATTAGCAGCATCATCACCTTACAAAGTGCACTCCCCTTTATCACCATGGCAATCAGCTTGCAGGTTCTAATAATTTGGGTGAGTCTGGACAAAGTTTTAAAACTTTTTTATCCCTATTGTGTTTGATTTTTTAAATATTTTCAATGGACATTTACTAGTTCAATATTTTCAAATTTCACATTTATGAACGCTGAAATTGAACTGTTCATCCATCCAGATCATCTCCAGCAAAATGTATTCAATGCAAATAAAAATAATTTAAAGATTCAGTACTGATAACTGGCGTTTTAAGTATCCATTGAGGCCAGACATGGGAACAGAAATATATATTTTAGCAGTTAACCATGAACTGTAAATCTCTGTGATTTTATTGTTTATGTTGGATCTGAAGAGTGCTGTCAGTGGAGACAGTGTTTAGTTGCTTGGATGTAAGCAAACTCCGCTCAACCTGTGCACGGCACAATCTTTGGGTGCCTGGTCTTAAGTCTTACAAAATCTATTATTATTGTTATTTCATTGGTAATCTGTCTAATCTTATCTGTTTCATCTTGTCAAGTAATCTATCAACTGTGACCAAATATGCCATTTCATCTGTCATCTATCCTGTCATATGATATTCCATCCATCATCACATCTGTAATATAATGACATCATCCCTATATATCATCCTTATAATATATTATTTTATCTTCCTATTTGTCTTCTAGTATGTCAACTTATCACCTAACATGTTAGAACACAATTTATCATCTAACAGGTCAGAACACAATTTATCATCCAACATGTCAGCACACAATTTATCACCTAACATGTTCTGACATCTAACAGGCCAGAACACAATTTATCATCTAACATGTCAGAACACAATATATCATCTATTTTGTCAAACACAATTTATCATCTAACTGGTCAGAACACAATTTATCATCTAACATGTCAGAACACAATTTATCATCCAACATGTCCGCACACAATTTATCATCTAACATGTCAGAACAAAATTTATCATCCAACATGTCCGCACACAATTTATCATCTAACATGTCAGAACACAATTTATCATCCAACATGTCAGCACACAATTTATCATCTAACATGTCAGAACACAATTTATCATCTAAAATGTCATTTCATGAGTCATCTAGTGTTTCTGGTAGTTGCTGGATTGCTTGGCTCATAAATTAAGGGATAAGCTGAAAGAGAGTGATGTCATCTGGCCTGAGGTAGCCATTATGAAGACAATGTTACGTGTGGAGTTGGGTAGCAAATGTGAATAACAATTTATTGTATGCTTATGTTGCTACTGTCAAATTTTTAAATGTTAACATGTAAATGTCATAGCTTTACTCTGTTAAATGACCGGCATGTCATTTGGGAATGGTAGTTTGGTTCATAATGGTTAAGGGACATAATTATCATATCTAATAGAAGTTAATTATTGCGGTTACTGTTCTTTGATCACTGTTCACATTTTATTTCATTCATTGTTGCAACAATGATTGTTCTTGATTGTACAACGTCTGGACATGTGTCTGATGGTGAATGTATTAATGAAAGGATGGAGAATATTTTTATTTTATTAACAAATGTTGAAAAGAGCTTCCAAATATTGCATTCACTCAAAGACTATTTAAACATTAAGTTTTAACAATGGATTTCAGTTCATGCAAAATTTTAAAAAAAATGTTGGCCTGGGGGATGTAACTTTAATTTATTAATAAATATTTATTGTACCATTTATTTATTCAAAAGTTTCATGACTTAGATCATAAAATGCAATCATTTATCATGTTCTCAAAAAAAAAAGATCCTTCTCAGCTCCATGATGTAATGTTGCCCCTGATGGCGTTTACCCACGATGGATGACTGCACAGAAGGCAGATTAATGCCACCATTAGTGGATTTGGTGTACTTACCATGAAAATATGATTGGATTGGTTTCATTTAAATTATCTGATAAAAAAATATGTACTTTTTGTTCAAATTTTTTCCTCCATATATTCTTTATAATGACCAGCCCAGACCAGCTTTGTATTCTAATTCTATGCATGTACTAAGTTACTGGTACCCTAATGATCGTTTTGTATTACTGATATCCTGTGATTTTAAGATTTAAAACCCACTTTGTTGTTATGATTTGTGGTGACTTGTAGTCTTTTTAGTTTTCTTTAAGCCAATGAATAATAAGAGAATTAAAAAGGGATTGATTTCTTTTCCACTTTGTTTCACATAATTTGACTTAAAACGGTAGCAGAAGCGATAACAATAAGTTATGTCAGCATGGTATAAAATATACAAAAATCAGAATTATATACAATATACATCAGTTTTTCTTTCTTGTGAGTACTGAAAAAATTTACAAAATCACCGAGTTGAAAAGTGAGTTACATCAATGGTAGCGTGTCCCCGTCCTTAAGCATTTTGTATAATTTTTTTTCCTACTAATACGGATTTATAGCTTAGGGTCAAAGTCCAAGGAAACTTTGGTTACAGATAGGGTTTCATCATAGATTTTATGGTTACAGATAGGGTTTCATCACCGATTTTTTTTTTTACACATTTAAAAATGTATTTCTTTATTTAGGCCCCTGTGGCGTACACTGACTTCCCAAAAGCGCGCCTCCTTTAGGACACATCTTTGCCAAATAACATTGCCGTAGGCGAGACGCCAGAGCACCACTCATCTTTAAATATCGTTGAAATATTCCAAAACTTCTGCCTCGGGCCGTCGCACCCCTTGCGTGCCCTAGACTCGCCACTGTTATGTATCTGAAATACTCTGCATTTAGGCAAGTCTGAAATTTTTAATTTTCGTGAATTTATGGGAGGTCCATGATTATGTCAAAATGGTAGGTTACCTGTTATCGTGCGGAATCTTAATTTTAAAAACTGCTATTAAGTAATGCAAAGAAAGAAATAATGTCAGGAGAATTTTAGCAATGGATCTCGAGGTTGGGAGAAAGGGCGTCATTTCAGGTTTTTTCAAAAACAAAAAAAAAGGGTAGGGGGTGGGCAAAAGCAAAACTTAGTCGGTTAGCTGACTTAGCTAAGTTGTTTCTTACTGGAGGAGCCGCTAAGTTGTTTCTTACTGGAGGAGCCGCTAAGTTGTTTCTTACTGGAGGAGCCGCTAAGTTGTTTCTTACTGGAGGAGCCGCTAAGTTGTTTCTTACTGGAGGAGCCGCAGTACATAGCAATAAATAAAACCTGCAAATAAAGAGGGGGTGGGGGGAGAGCAACTACCACACCCTGGCCTACCCAAATGACGTCCCTAGTTGGGAGGATGAATCATAGATTTATAACTGGATTTATTCTTCTTTAGAAAGGAAGACCATTACGGGCACTTTGAAGGCGTAAGTGGCCATGACTAAACAACAAGACTGTTAAGAGTGTCAGGGAGGGTTATGTCCTCATGGCAAAATGTGTGGGGGTGGGGGAATGAAGACGAAAATGTTGAGCTTACCAAACAGTCAAACCAGAGGGGGGGGGGGGGGAAAAAAACGAGGAAAACTGAGGATTTAAAAATTTAAAAAAATTATTCCTTGTGTATTTATCTGATCTTAATTTATCTGATCTTAATTTATCTGATCTTAATTTATCTGATCTTAATTTATCTGATCTTAATTTATCTGATCTTAATTTATCTGATCTTAATTTATCTGATCTTAATTTATCTGATCTTAATTTATCTTATCTTAATTTATCTGATCTTAATTTATCTGATCTTAATTTATCTGATCTTAATTTATCTGATCTTAATTTATCTGATCTTAATTTATCTGTTCTGCAAAAATTATGAAGTGCAATTTTCAAAAAACAAGATGGTGACTAGCAAGAAATATCAAATGGATGCATATCCAGGCATAAGTCACAATACAACTTCATCCTATTTCCATCTCATTGAGATCTTCAACGTTTGAAAGCTAACCACAGTGTATACATTATTATTTTTTTTTAAAAAGTGTTTATGTGTTCCTCCAATTTCCCCTCCCCATTTCAAGTGAAGACCTCCTCCCCCCCACCCCTATTAATGCCCGTAGTTCAGGTGTTGGGATGTGATCATTGAAGAAGGTGATAGGCCTACATTCTTTCATTGCCCTTTCCAGTATGAATAGATTCTGAAATCTATAAAACTAAAAAATTTTTTTTTTTTTTTGGGGGGGGGGGGGTATTCTAGTAAATTTTAGTCTAGGCTAGCAATATTTATCAAAGTGGCTATAGGTACCCGAGTACCTATAGCCGAAATTAGCTATTCGGACCCGGCTGGTCACGTGAGGGCTTTACAATCTTTGGTTGGTCACGTGATGGTTATGAAGTTATGACGGATACTTCCTGGAGCCATCTTGGAGCCATTATTATCTATCGAGAAATGTGACATATTTTGAAGACTTTCTCATGTACGGTAGCGTTGACGAAACACGAAGAACAGTACGTAAAGCTAAAACTAAAAGCAAGTAAGAATACGTTTATGTTTATAATTTTATTGTATTTTTTAATTCTATTTTAAATATAGTTCTATAATCATTAACATGACATCAATGAAGATTCAAGATCAAAGTTGCTTTTTTTTTTTTTTGGCGGCAAAAGTTTGGCTGCGGCTATTCGGACCCGGTATCAGAAGTGGATACTTCAATTTTAATTCACCGCCAAAATTATTATTTTTCACACTTCCCATAAAACAAATGTTCTTTTGNAAATAAAACCTGCAAATAAAGGGGGGGGGGGGGAGAGCAACTACCACACCCTGGCCTACCCAAATGACGTCCCTAGTTGGGAGGATGAATCATAGATTTATAACTGGATTTATTCTTCTTTAGAAAGGAAGACCATTACGGGCACTTTGAAGGCGTAAGTGGCCATGACTAAACAACAAGACTGTTAAGAGTGTCAGGGAGGGTTATGTCCTCATGGCAAAATGTGTGGGGGTGGGGGAATGAAGACGAAAATGTTGAGCTTACCAAACAGTCAAACCAGAGGGGGGGGGGGGAATAAATCGATGGAAACTGCTGATTTAAAAATTTTAAAAAATTATTGCCTGTGTGGTCTTGCTGTTACAATACTCCACCAAGCAGCCACTCAGTGTGCTTTCATTGTCAACGTACTATGCACCAATGAAGAAAGAGAATCGCGACAGAGTGCACTTAGACTTATTTCAAAGATTCCGAAAGTAGTCATACTCAACTGGAAAGTAGTCATACTCAACTGGAAAGTAGTCATACTCAACTGGAATTCTCTGCCTATTGGATTCCTCCATTCACTGTTGTTCGCCATCGATAAAATGGGATAAATAAGATAAGATTAGATAAAATAAGATAAGATTAGATAAGATAGAATAAATAAAATCTTTTTTGATCCAAATAAATGGAATATGTTTTTGATTACATTGTACATTTTCAGCACATAAATAAAGATATATTTTTAACCAAGACAGCATTTTGCAGTTATAAGAATTTAAACACAAGACATCTAAAGTATTTCTTTAGAGCAGAAATCAGCCATCAGTGAACTCCTTTAGTGAAAATAATTTACTTAATGAGTGGAGCCCAGGTTACTTCAACGTTAGAGGCAATAAGAAAGCGGACACTTGCTAAAACCGGGGCTGCCCAGCTTCAGCCAGAAGTACCAATAACTTATTTGGGAATAAAGACCTGACTGGCGGACCACTTCAGGGCGAAGTGGTACAGGCAATTGGAAGACAACACGACCGCCAGGGGCGTCTTTTCAAATTTGCGCATTCCTAGCAAACACTTGCCCCCCCCCCCC